CACAGCTAAGCTGTGATATGCCTGCAGAAGCCCCTGTGTGGTCTCTGTGGCAGACCCCAATGGCTCCCTACCCAGTGGCCAGTATGGCCGAGTCAGCCTTCCATGGTGGATATTCACCCAGCTTCCCTTGCAGCTAAGACGTAGGTTTGTAACTGAATTTTAGCCAATGGGACTAAAGGCAAAATCTTCTGAGGAGCGTCTGCATCCAGGAGGGCTGGGCAAGGGTCCTTGATTCCAACCCTAGCGCTGCCAATAGGAACTGGCAGTGGGACTTGGGCTCCATTTTGCAGGTGGGTCACTGGAGCCGATGCCTCTGAGGTCCTCCCAGCTCTGATTGGGTTCTTGTGGTCGGGCCTCTGTGAGAGGGCAGGGACCCGGAAGCCATTAGCTTGTCCAGGAGCTCCTCTGGCCACGTGCCGGTCAGGGGGACCACGGCAGCTGTCCCGGAGTAACTGGGACACGGGGAGAAGGCACTACAGAGAGGCTGAGCAGGTGTGGGCGCCCAGGGTTGGTCAGGTGAACTCACCACCCAGAGGACCACCTGCTGAGCCAAACAAGTGGGGGTCTGCAACGTTGTACATGAGGCCCAGGGTGAGCCATCCGCCGCTTGGGGCCATCCAGCACCCTCTCCCCAGGGGTGACAGCTCCCCGATTGTCCCCACCCCCAGCCACAGGCTGCTCACCTGCTCAGAGGAGGGCGTAGCACACAGATCAGCGTAATCCCACCCCCAGCCACCATGATTGGCTAAGGGCTGCACAGGTAGCCAATGAGATGCAAGGAGCTGTAGGCTCGGGGAATCTCCCGGAAACAGAGGCAGCCTCTCCCCAACCAAGCAGGTGTGCCATGGGGAGATGTGACAGCCACCTGTCACTCTTAGGGGGCCACCTGGAGGCGCTGGGGGCTACGGATAGAGCCTAACAATGACGGCAATAGGAACGGATCCTTGGTAACATTATTAGAGTTGCTGGATCAGGCTCTGCCTGAAGCTAGAGCTAAGCCTAACCTTTTGTGTGTTTTTTTTTTTTGCGGTACGCGGGCCTCTCACTGTTGTGGCCTCTCCCGCTGCGGAGCACAGGCTCCGGACGCGCAGGCTCAGCAGCCATGGCTCACGGGCCCAGCCGCTCCGCGGCATGTGGGATCTTCCCGGACCGGGGCACGAACCCGTGTCCCCTGCATCAGCAGGCGGACTCTCAACCACTGCACCACCAGGGAAGCCCTAACCTTTTGTGTTTTATGAGCCGGTAACTCTGACTGATAAAGTCCTGCTTTCAGGCTCCCCCAGTGCAAGCCGAGAATGGGAAGGTGCTTGGCAGTAATCAGTGTGAGACCCCCCTGGATGGGGATTCTTGGTTCAAAGAGAAACCGTGTGATTAGAGCTTAGGTCATATCATTTGAGGTCTACTTGGGCAGGGGACAGTCCCTCTCAATTCCAGAGGCTCAGACCACAGCCAAAAGAAGAGAAGACACAGGGGTATAGGGTCCCTGTCTCCAAGACTCAGGGGAGGAGGCAAGTAGCCTTTATGTGGCCCCAGAGGGCAGTGCTTGACCAGGATGAAGGGGGAGGGGGAGCAAAGATGAGAGAGAGTCAAAAGAAGGCAGTTTCAGCTCCCTTTGAGGAAAAACTTTCTCACAAGGACTGCTGACCAAGAATGGAATGGGCTGCGTTGGTAGGTGGTGAGCTTCCTGGCAGAGGAGGTATGTAAGCAGATAAGGGACTTTAATGGGTGGAATTTTGAATAGAGTCAGACTAGGCAATGTCTAAGTCTTCCCACTGTGAGGAATTAATTTTTTCTCTAAATTATTGAAGGGCTTCAACAAGCAAAATGAGATGGGGGGACAGCCCTTATTCAAAGTTTCCTAGCAGAGGCTGGGCCTCCCCTCCCTGCATCCCCTCAGCCACTGGAGTCTCAGAAGCCGCGTCCAAGAGCGACTTCCTGCGTCAACACAACAGTAAATCTTTCAGCATGCTCGCTCGGTACCAGGCACTGTTCTAGGGCTTTGAACATTTCCTCACAACAACCCCACAAGGTAGGTACCATCATCCCCCCCATTTTGCCAGAGTAACTGGCTCAAGCCGCACAGCTCGGAAATGGAGGAGCTGGGTTTACACTCAGGCCCCTGTCTCCAGGCCCGCGTCTCAGTGGCCCCACCAGGGGCAGCGGAAACTTGCAAGGCAAGCTTGGAATGGCCCAGCCCAGCTGCTGTCCTCGTTAGGTGACCACAGGTCACATGCAGCAAAGTGGGGAAGAGGAAGCCAGCGAGGACAGAGTTCGGAGAGTGGGACGGATGAGGACACACTTTGGAATTTTCCAAGTGCAACGGGGCTGCAGAGAAACAGAGTGGGGTGTTACTCTCGTCCAGCAACTGGTCTCTAACGGCCCGTGTCGCTGCCCCTCTCTCTGCTGGGCCGATCTGCAGGATCGTTTGCGTGTCACACAGATGAGCTGTAATATCTCCACCTTGAAACAAATGCAACAACCCTCCCACCATGTGGCTCCTCCACCCGCTTCTCTGCCTGCTCTGCTCACATCTTGTCACCCGGCACTGCCACACTGCCGGGCCTGCAGAGGCAGGGCTGACCCCACATCGCTCCCTCACTGGATGCCTCCTTCCCTCGGCTTCCGGGAGACGCTCAACCTCCCCTGCACCCTTTCTTCTCTGCTACTTCCTCCTCTTCATCCTGGCCCCTAACCCCCGCGGCGCCTCGGGCACCACCCGAGGACCTCTTCCCTTCTTCGTATGCACTCCCTCTGTAAGGTCTCAGCCAGTGCTGTGGCTTCAAGCACCAGTGGCTTCCAAATCTGCCTCTAGCTCTGGCTTCTCAGATCTGGTTTCCCAGTGAGCTCCCCAGCGCAGCTGCTGCCTTGGCATCTCCACCTGGATGTCCCACAGGCATCTCCACCGCCACCCTGTCTTACTCCGTCTGCCTCTCCTGCTCCTCCCGTCCCCGTGTAAAGCGCCGTCACCCACTTGGCCACCCAAACAGTGTCCGTTGGGTTTGGCCACCTGGAGGTCATACGCAGGGCCTAGTCCGGGGGGGCCGCAGCAACGGTGCTGGGCGGAGGGCTGCAGTATAGATGCTATTCTGTGGCACCTACAGTGCCTGGGTCCGTACAGGCGGGGGTGGGCAGGAAGAGGGGCGCGGTCCCTGCCCTCAGTGGTCCTCTGGGTGGAGACACGGGACCATCAGGCAGGGAGAGCAGAGACAGCCCTCATTCTTCAGGGCTGTGCCCGCTGGACGCAGGGCTGGACCTCCCCCAGACAAGGAGGGCGTGGGTCTGCAGGGCGGGGCGGGCAGGCTGAAGGAGGCAGGACCTGGGGTTGAGCAGCATGAAAGAGGCCTGGGCGGAAGAAGAGAGGTGGCAGGTGTTTGGGGACAGACGGGGGCAGCAGGGCCAGGATAGCGGGCTCGCAGAGCAGACCAGAGAACGGGTGGGCTGGCCCTGACCTGGCACCCTGCTCTGGGCTGGGCCTTGGTGTGCTATTCCGGGCAGCTCTCATCCCTGGGCTCTGAGGTTGCTGTTTCTCAGAGGACGAAAAGATTATGTCAAAGAGGTGTTGGGGTCAGGACGGTGATGCGGACCCGGGTCCACGCCCTGCCCAGCCCGACCTGCCCACGGCCCACTCCCTGCTTCACAGGCCCCACTGAGCTTCATACTACGGGTAGTGGAAGCATGTGTTAGGCTGACCCAGATGGAATTGCTGACTTCCTGCTTTTGACCTGCAAAAGGCCACCTGAGAGTGGTTCAGACTAAGAGGACACGTCTGTGTAATACTTCTTGATTGACCGACTGCAAACCCTCACCGCAGTAGTTTGTGAAAGGCTTTGTTGGAATAGTCCGGCCTTAGAAATCTGACAGCTCTTGGCCCTGGGACTGGACCACAGGGCCCAGTGGTTTAATGAGTGTTTCTCATAAGAACGAGATCCCTGAGGTTGGCTCTGGGGAGGAGATGCAGTGACCTGGGGGCAGGTGGAGGTCACATGTGGCCCCCCCCCCCGGGTGGGCTGAGTGCTATGGCCCCCCTGACTTGCAGCTCCAGCTTCTTTGAATGCTTCAGCCCCAAAGTCACAGAGAGGACCCTGTAACCTGATAAGTATGTGTCTCTTTCCACCCACCCCCAGGCCATCAGCATTTGCTGTCATGGCCATTTTCTGGAAAACAGCTCTGACCGTGCTCCAAAGCCTTCTGTGTCTTCCCATGGCCGACCGGACAAGTCCAGATCCCCCCGTATTCCAGCCGCTCCCTAAGCTAGTTTCCGCAAGTGATGACGCTAAGATCCGGAGGAGGAGCGGATATATTTTGTTCAAGAGGGTCCCACAGGTGGCGAGAAGCCCACCTGCCCACCTCCACTTCTGCACTCCAGTCCGCACTCTACTCTGGCTGCCAAAGGGAGCAGAGGTCAGCTCTGACCCTGTCCATCTTCCCTGCGAAATGCTTCAGTGGCTCTCTCTGTGGCCAAGAGAAAGAACGCCAGTGTCCTTAACACTACCTCGAGGGTCCTTCACGGTCTGACCCGGCCCAGCCCTCCAGCTCATGGCTGCTGGTGCCGCCTGGGCATGGCAGAGCCAGACCCACTGACCTTCCGGCGCGTTGCCCTCTAGGTCCTTGCACGTGATGACCACGGCCAGCACCTTACTGTGTGCCAGACGCTGCTCTGTTTTTTTCCCTTATATATACAGAATTAATTTTTTAAAATTGAAGTATAGTTAAATTACGTTATGTTAGTTTCAAGTGTACCGCAAAGTGATTCAATTATACTTGTGTGTGTGTGTATGTATACACACACACACACACACATATTCTTTTTCAGATTCTTTTCCTGCATAGGTTATTACAAGATACTGAGTAGAGGTTCCCTGTGCTCTACAGTAGGTCCTTGTTGCTTACCTATTTATTTTATAGATAGTATGTACGTGCTGAGTGTTTTAATGAAAAAAGTCATCTATTCCTCCCAACAGCCCTAAGAAAAACTTATTCTCATTCCTACCATTTCACAGATGAGAAAACTGATGTCCAGAGCTGGGGAAGCTTGCTGAGACCACGCAGATCCCTCGAGCTGCAGTGTGTACCCATCCCGAGCTAGTTCTGCCTGGAAAACCCTGCTGGTCCTTCAACCACCCACCTGCCGGGTCCCCGACACAAATGTGGCTTCCTTTCAGAACTTGCCTCCGTACCTGGATGCCCTGAGCTCCCACGGTCTCCAGCAGCTGTTGTGCTGTGTTTCCCCCATCAGACGGCGTTTCCTGGAGGGCAGCCAGCACAGGACAGAGTGGCCCGTCAAGGTTTGTTGAACGATGAATGCGGGAACGGATGAATGACACCATTGGCAGCAGTTCACATGACTAGCGGGAGGGCCCCGGGGGGGATTCCAGCTCCTCCCGTCCCTCTGTTCTTGGATTGTTCCAGAAGGACAGGAGAGCGCTAGCTTTGCAGCCACAGACCAGGGGCAAGTCCCATCCCCATCACTGCCGAGCCCCATGGATGGGGGCTGACAGAGGGGTGGACCCTCCAGGTGAGAGGGTGAGGAAGACCTTCCCAAACTGCAGGCATTTTGGGTCACTGGCCCTATTGTTGACTAATACAGATTTCCTTTCATAGGAAACATTATCACCAAGAGTAAAAAGCCACTGTCTCTTGCCATAAATAGAAGGTAACCAGAAAAACAAAGACAACAAAACAGCCAGTTCTAGCTAGATCCTGTTTTCAGGCTGTTCTTTCTTTGTTAAAAAGAGAGTTGGCTAAGGGGAGTTAGAGATTCACCAGGTCAGTCCAGGACCTGAGACAACCAGGACCGCAAAGGCCGGCAGAGGCCCTCGCTGGCCTGTGACCCCACGCCCACCCCCTGCCCACCTCGGGCCACTCTCCTCTGGGGGCACGGAGGGGCTGGGGGACCTGCAGAGACACCTGTCACCCCACAGGCACAGCGGAGCACCTCCCTCTCAGCTGCAGGCCCTCCTGGGGAGAGGCGGGCCCGCGGCAGTCCACGGTCCCCTCACGCCCGGACAGACCACGTCCTTGTGCCAGCAGGGCGTTCCCTCCAGCTGCGTACCTCTGCGTGCCGCCCTGAGCCCCGAGTGAGCCTCCCTCTGACGCCTTCTTCCTGCTGGAGCCCGGCGGCCAACACGATCTGACAAGGGCCAGATGTTCCCCTCTACTCCTTCCAGCCCTGGCAGCTCACGCCCAGCTCCGGGCCTCCGACGGACAGAGCCTCCCTTGGTTCTGCGATGCAAAGGGGGGTTCTCGGGAGCTGCCTAATCTGGGTTCCACCCCACAGGACCGTGGCTTTGCGATGTGACGCTCTGCAACTGCCCCTGCCCCCCGGCTTCCATCTCAATCCTCTCTTCATTCACCAGTAAACACTGATGGGCCCTGGGGTCCCATGAAGATGAAAAGAAATAACGGTACTTTTAAACACGGGGAGCTCCTGCCTCCGTTTAGTATTCAAGGGGATTTTAGGTGGCACTCGGATGAACAGGTGTGTGTGTGTGTGTGTGTGTGTGTGTGTGTGTGTGTGTAACAGTTAAGTATTTAGTATAATGGGTACTAAAGACAATTAATGAACCATTTTAGTTTTATGTTTATGACAGTGATAAAACTTCCTTTTAAATTAAGTAAAAAGAGTGAGATGATTTAAGGAAAAATAGTAACTAAAGGATAACAGTACGGGTGCTCTGCAGGTATGGTTAAAGGTGACACAGCTCCTGGGAGAGTGTCTGAAATTCGGCAAATGCTTGGACAGCAGCACTGTCGGAGCCAAGCTCTTGCCCCGTCCCTCAGCCACTCGTTCTATCCCCCGCACAGCAGAGGACCCCACCGCTAACATACTGACACCCTCTTTTTATAACATTCCTGTGCTATCCCTAAATGAGCTAATAGACCCTGTCTTTACATATGCTTTGAAGAAATTAATGTGATGCCTTGTGATTTAAAGGAGAAAGGAATTTTATAACATACATTTCAATAAGTAAATGCTCAGATACAAAGAAAATTTCAGATGCTTAAAACTATAATGGCTAAGTTTGAATTTGAGAGAGGTAAGGTAATGTTCAGTGGAATGTTGTTGACACTCTTTCCCTATAGTTGACATTTTGAAATAAGGACTAGGGAAAGATACTCAGATAGATGGTGGAGGGACAGATGGACAGACAGATAGACAGATATGCAGACTCCCTGGGACGCAGAGTAATGAATGCCAGTGGACACAGGAACTCCTTACCAGCTGGTAAAGCTTCACAAATGTTGCTATCATCTGTGATGTGGTTATGCAATGATGAGCCACCCTTGGAAAATTCCAAACAAGTCAAAGTATAACCTTCCCTCAACTCACACTGCATTGCATTCTTGCAAAATTCTTTGCATATTAAACCTGTGCAAAAAAACTGTGTTTGTATGGAAAGCAGACTTAGGACCTAGGCTCAGATAATTGCAGTGAAAGCAAGTTTTTCGCAGAACGAACACACAGCAGGGCGTTTGGAAGTCATGTGGGGTACAAGGCAGTCCTGGTGGGTTGTACAGGGCCTACCTGGAGGCCTGTATCCCTGGAATCCACCCCCAAGTGCTGGCAGCACCGTCCTCCTAGTCACTGAAACAAACAGTCCCTCCCCACAAATTTCCAGAATGTCTCTGGGGGAGATATTGCTCCCATGGAGATACCTTGTTCTCACCACATTCACAGGCTGCAGGGATTAGGGTGTGGGATCTCCGGGGTCATTCCTAGAAATTCTGCCCGCCCGCACAGTAGCCATGGTGCTGCCACAGCAGGACAGACACTTCATTGGAAAGAAAGGAGAAGTGAGTTGTTCGAGGCTGTACCCAAGCCAGTGGTTCATGGTTGCAACAACAGAAACCATCACTGAAGCAGGAAAGGAATTGGTGTGCAGGACACCCAGGAGCTAACAGAGTCGATGGGCAGCTTGGAGGGCCAGGCTTGGGCAGAAAGCAAGGGAGGGCAGACCCAGCTGGTGCAGGAGCAGAATTTCTAGGAATGACCCCCCAAGATCCCACACCCTAATTCCTGCAGCCTGTGAATGTGGTGAGGTATCACTGCTGGGATGGTGTTATGTTATATGGAACAGCTGACCTTAAGCTGTGTCACCTCATCACACGTGTCCCTTTAAAAGCAGAGAACTTTCTTGGCTGGTGCAGAAGAAGAAGTTAGGGAAATGTGAAGTGTGAGAAGGACTAGGGTCGTTGCTGGTTGGAGGATGAACAGGGACACAGGAGATGGCATGTGGAGAGCGACCCCTGCTGACAGTCAGCAAGGGATGGGGATCTCAGTCCTACAACCACAAGGATCTGAATTCTGTCAACCCCTGGGTGAGCTTGGAAACAGATTCTTCCCCTCAGCCCAAGGTCAACAGCACCTTAATTTCAGCCTTGTGGGAGCCTAGGCAGAGAACCCGGGCGAGCCTGCCTGGACTTCTGGCCTGCAGAATGTGAGATCATAAGTGGATGTTGTTTTGAGTGCCTCCGTTTGTGGTAATTTGTTATGGTTGCTAGGAACCAAATACAACCACCCAAACAATCACACCCCATCTGTCTTGTTGGCACAATCTCAATTGTTCCGTCAGGCACTGAGTGGCCAAGTGCTTCCAGACGGGAGATCTGATTGGTTTAAGCTGATCATGATTATTCCTCCCTTTTGCCAAGGATTGGTTGAGGAACAGGCATGTGATGTGATCCTGGCCAATGAGAGATGAGGGGAGGTCTTCCAGGAGGGTCTCTGGGAACAGAGAAGTTGAAGAAGGAAGTTATTTGTCTGTCTCTGGATGTGGCAGTGATGCCTGGGCCATGGCAGCTATCTTGTGACCATGAGGGGCCTTTGCTGATAGGCCAAGATGACAGGCTAAGAGTCGGAAGATGGAGAATTGGGTCCTTGCAAACATCACTGAGCTGCTGTCCCCTGGACTTCTCATGCAGGATTATCAATGTCCCTGTGGTTTAATCCATTGTGAGTTGAGTTTTCTGTTACTTGCAGCCTAAAGCACTGTCACTGATAAACACTTCACAGCACTGCTTGGGGGTTAAATGAGGTTGTGTATGTGAAGTCGTTAGTGCAGTGCATCATAACCACAGGTGCACAGAAATGCTGGCCTCTGTTCCCTCCTGCCTCAACCCCTGGTTGAGTCAGGGTCCAACCAGAGAAGTGGGGCCAGTAGGGGATGCCCATCTACATACACGTCTATAGCTACAGTGCTATCTCAAGAGCTTTGTAACCAGGAAGTGGCCTCTGTGCTCAGCGAGTCTGAAATCCAGAGGCAGGGGAGCGCACAGGCGGCCTAGACCCTTGGGCACAGCAGAAACTGTGTCCACAGGCAGAACCTCTTGGTTTCAGGGAAGCCCTCACCCTTGCTTTAAGGTCTAGCAAGTGATTAAATGGGGCTCACCCAGATTAACCAGGATCATCTCCCTTACTCAGAGTCAACTGGTTAAAGACTTTAATTCATGTGTAAAACGCCTCAAGGCAACCGTAGGTTAGTGCTTGAACGACTTGGGCTGGAACCAAGTAACTCAGCAAGGTGACCCAGCCAGAGACCATCACACCCCTGCATTCAGCCTTTTCTGAAATGGATAGAAGACGTTACTCTCATTTGCTTCCCTCTCTGCATTCAACCCTCTGACACCCAGTAGCCCCCGAGCTTCGGGAAGCTGCAGGGCAGACAGGACATGCAGGGCCTGGCCAGGGCTGGCCAGGAGTGGGGTCGCCAGGCAGCCAGAGGTCCTGGAGGCTCGCACACCGGCTGCCTTTGCTGTGTGGCGTTTCCTGAGTGAAGGCTCGCAGGAAACAGAGACGGGTGTGTGAAAACAAAAGAACAACAGTAGGAAGAAGAGCTTGCGGTGGGGGGGCGGGCCTTGGAGGAAGAGCCGAAAATAAATCCTGAAGAGGGGAGTGTGCAGACAGGCCTCGGGGCCTGGGAAGCCTTTCTGACTGTTGCTCGTTTCTGGTCCCTACCTGAATGCAGGGCACCGCCTCTACTGCGGGGTGGGTGCAAGGGGGTGTCTGAGCAGGCCCCCCACAGTCCGAGCTGCTAATCTGGCTCTGCAGTTCATCCCACAGATGAATTGTGTGCTGGAGACACTGTACTTACCAGAACGGCCCGACCTCCTGGAGCCTCCCTTCCCCTGGGCGACATGGACCCCGGTGAAGTCACAACAAAAATAAATGGAGGATGGAAAGGCCAGGGACTGTGAGAGATGACAGGGGAGCAGGCTGGCCGGGCCGCGGCCTCTGAAGATGTCATGGGATGTAGCCAAGACAGCTGGGTGGATGCGAATTAGTCAGAAGCTGCCTGGGAGCAGTCGGGGAACCCTGTGCCTGAAGTGGACCAGGGAGGGGTTTGGGGTTCAAGGAGAAGAGACGTCAACATGGCTGGAGGGGTGCACAGCGGGCAGAGTGGAGGAAGCTGGGGCCAGAGTGGGGGCCCCATCTCTCAGGGCCACGGTCATGGCAAGGAGGCCCTCAGCCCAGGTATCGCAGGATGTGACTGTATTACTGTATTTGGAGACGGGGCCTTTAAAGAGGTGATTAAGTAAAAATGAGGTCCTAGGGTGGCCCTCATCCAACGTGACTGGTCTCCTTGTAACAAGAGGAGGTTAGGACACAGACATGCACGGAGGAATGACTGTGTGAGGACGCAGGGAAGAGACGGCCGTCTCCAGGCCAAGGAGAGAGGCCTCAGGGGAAACCACTGCTGCCCACACCTTGATCTTGGACTTCCGGCCTCCAGAACTGCGAGACGGTGCCCATCTGTGGTTGATGCCGCCCAGACCGTGGTATTTGTCACGCAGCCCGAGCTGACTAATACACTGCCACTAACACACTGTAGCAAAGCAGCCACCTCCACCGCGCCCTCCCCTTATTCATCCCGTGTACTGTCACCTGTTGGTCAGCGGTCTCCCCCCAGGACGTCAGCCCCACGAGGGCAGGGACTTTGCCTCGTTCATGGCTGTTTCCCTTGGACCCGGGGCAGCACGGCACTCTGGGCATGTGACAAAATGTGGTTGGATAAAGAACAGTCAGTGGTTAATTCTGACAGAAAATTGTGAAGAGACCCCACAGAGAATCTCTGTCCCCTCCCCGCTTCAGGGTCTCTGATGTCGGTGGCTCCAGCCTTCTCTAAGTCACCCCTGTCCTCTCAGGAGGATTCAGGGCAGGTGATGGGAGCCTCAGGCGTTTCCCATGGTCCGTGCACCTGCCCGGTCAGGCCGCAGGTGGCAGAAAGGAGGGGCATTGGGCGCCATTGCTGCCCACAGGAGCTCCCAGTCGAGAGGGGCTGCTGTTCTTTGCAGAAGCCACCTCCCCTTCAATCCATCCGTGAGACCCAGGTCCTGTGAACCAGAGTGGCAGTGATTGGTCCAGAGTAGTCACATGACACCCCGCCAACTTAGCCAGTCAGCATATTCCAGCATCCCTGGTACCACTGATTGGTTCAGGGATGGGCGTGACCCATGTCAGGATAATCAAGAGTTAACCTAAGGATTTCCTTGGAACTACTGGGAAAGAAATGCTCATTCTATTGGGTTACCCCAATAGAAGGATTGGTGCTAATCCTGGGCTCGGAGGCCCAAGCATCCACTTTTTCATCTTCCCTTTGCTTGGTGCCACACTGCAGCCTTCACTCGTCTTGGATTCTCACTTCTAAGAGGAAGGTCACGAGGTGGAGTTTGTTGGTTTTGTCTCATGGCATCCTCCTCCTGTCTCCTGATAACAGCACCCACTTTGCTTTCAGGAACTGTCCCGCCCCCTACCTAGCATCCACCTCTCCCAGACCACAGGGTTGAGTGTGCGTCCTAGTTCTGGCTGGCTGGCGTATCCTAGCGCCCTGGCCACAGTGATGGCCTAGACGTGGCCTGTCACCCAGGCTGGGCTGGGCAGCGTTCTTCCCTGAGACTTTATCTGCAGGTGCTGGGAAGCAGTATGCAGGTCACTGAATTTGGAAAGTTACGGATCTGGGGTCACTGCAGCCTGTCCCCTCCCATGTGGAGCCGGAGTGCGTGAAACCGAGCAGGGACAAGCAGAGGTTCGGGATGGATGGACAGTGCCGGTGGCACGGGATTTAAAGTCTGCTCCCTGCAGGTAAGTGCCAACTGATGACAATGAAATTGGTGGACTACTTACTGTGTACCAGGCACAAGTCGAAGTGCTTTTTACACGTTATCTCGTTTAAGTCCTGCCTATGACGTAGGCACTGAAACTAACCTCATTTTCCAGATGAGCAAACGGAGGCAAAAACAGGTAGAGTCAGAGCCTCTCAAGAAGTGTCAAGGCACCAAAGAAGATGGATAAAGCAGGCGGTGGCCAAAGGCGACTGAGTGGTCTGCACTTCAGGACACCCCGGGTCCTGTGCGGCTGCCCCTGACCTGGGAAACCGATATCGTGGTCCTCTTGTCACCTGTCTGTGTGCCTGAGGCCACCCGCCTGGCTTGGAACTGGGAAAGCAGGGCTCGCAAACGTAGGGTCTCAGAGCATCCCCAACTAACCTCGAAGGCACAGAGCCGAGGCCTGTTCCCGAGCCCCGAGGGAAGCAGCGCGAGAGCCCAGGACTCTTGGGCCCTTGAGGACTGAGTCCAGCCTGGGCTATGCCCTGACTGCCTGGGTGACCTTGGCCAGATCACCTCAGGGAGGGACTCTATCCATCGAACAACTCAACAGGTGGTCCCCGGCTCCTCCCCCCTCACTGCCTGTACTCATTCCCCGGCTCCGCTGCCCTCTGGGGCCCCGCCCTGGCTGTTGGGCTCACACGGACGTGCACTTGTGGTTTCTGGGCAGGCCTTGCTTTTCTGGATAGAAACGAACAGATGTCCCGTGCTTTCTGCCTTTAATAGCGTTGTGGAGGCCATGTGTCTGAGGCACATCGCAAAGACTCATCACAGAGCCCGCCCCGGGCTTCTGGTCAGGAGCAGACAATGAAACCCAAACCCCAGCGTGTTCCAAGCACTGTTAGGTGAGTTCCTGTAACTTTCGGCTGAAGGGCATCCCCACCGCTAGAGATGTCTTCCCAGCTGCCCCTGGAAGGTCATCTTTACGCAGGTGTGGTGTGACCGCCCACGTGCCATGCTGGCCGTAGTGGGTAACCTGTGGCCAGTGGAGCTAGAGGTGTCGGGGATGCAGTGAGAAATTGTAGGTGGGACTTGAGTTTAGGTCCAGGCGGTGTGGCTTCTTAGCAAACTCTGGCTGCAATTTCAGGGTGATGTAGCAGGGGGATAAAAGGTCCGGTAATCCCCCATCGAAGGCTTCCTGTGTCCCGGCCGGACCCTGAGGACTCAGGAGGAACCACAGTCATCTGACATCCCCCTCCTCAGCCGGTGCGCAGTGGGATCCTTTGCTGAACTGGGCTCCTGGGGGTCCGTGACTGTGAGCGTGACCAGGTAAGATTCTCGAGGCATGGTTCTCACTCCCACTGACCCCTGGGGTCCTGGCTCACCATCCAGCCTGCAGCGCGCAACGTGCCCACGACACATCGGAGTGCGGCCACTCGTGTCTGCTCTCCCCAACCCAACACGAGGTGAGGACACCACGGCTGGCTCTGGGTGACCCCTTGCTGGCTCCTCCACCCAGAGGTAGGTCCCCCTTGTCGACCTGGCTGCTGCCTGTGGCTCTAGTGCCTGTTTCACCCTGCAAATCCTAAGGTGCTGTCCCTGAGGAGGTCTCTGACCTAGGATGGAGAATGGCAGGTTGAGGCTCTGCCCAGCTCCAGGTAAGGCCTCCAGGTGTGGGGCTGGTGGTCCGTCTCTTCTCAGGCGCTGGACCCAGAAATGGTCTCCTCACCAGCCTCCTTGCCTCTCACCTCCCCTCCTGCCCATTTGTCCTTCACAGGCAGCCTGAAGCATTGCTCTGAAGCTCAAAGTGATCACTTCTGTTTCGAGCCCTTCTCTGTCTCCCTCGTTCTCTGGGGTGAAGGCCTCGTGCCTCAGCCTGGTGCTCAGGGCCCTTCGCCATCCTCGCCTGCCCTTCCAGCTTCCTTTCCTGCCACTTTCCACCTCAAACCCGCCAGCCACAATACGTCTCCCTGTTCCCAAGAGGCACCAAGGCCTTCACACCTCCAAGCCTTTGCACTCATGGCAACCTGAATCTGCGATACCTCAGAAAACTCCTACTCATCCTTCAACACCCAGCTCAGATGATGGCATTCCCCCGAGAGATGCCCTAGCCATCGTCACTCACGCTGGGGTCAGGGTCCTGTGCTTGCCCACACTGTGCAATTCCGGTAGGACCCTGACACTCAGCTGACACTGTCCACTCCTTGTGGTGGTCGCCACACACATAGGGTTCTCTGGGGCCAGACTCTGTTCATATCAGCAACACCAACGACCACTACCATTACTGTTTATGGGGGGTACTGTGATAAGGGAGAAATAAAATAATAATCTCCAGCATTCATCGAGAGTTTTCTCAAGGCTAAGCGTTATTCTAAGTGCTTTGTACATATTAGCACTTTATCTTCAAATTCCCTATGAGGTGAATATAATAATCATTATTATTCTTGTCACCCTTATTTTACAGATGAGGAAAAGGAGGCTCACAGAAGCAAAAATGACTGAGACATGGGCTCCCCTGGTGGCACAGTGGTTAAGAATCCACCTGCCAACGCAGGGGACACGGGTTTGAGCCCTGGTCCGGGAAGATCCCACATGCCACGGAGCGGCTGGGCCTGTGCGCCACAACTACTGAGCCTGCGCTCTAGAGCCCGCAAGCCACAACTACTGAGCCCATGTCCCACAACTACTGAAGCCTGTGCGCCTAGAGCCCATGCTCCGCAACAAGAGAAGCTACTGCAATGAGAAGCCCGTGCACCGCAACAAAGAGTAGCCCCCGCTCGCCGCAACTAGAGAAAGCCCACACGCAGCAACGAAGACCCAACGCAGCAGGAGACAGTAAATAAATAAATAAATTTATTTAAAAAAAAAAAGACTGAGGCAGGTCAGAGCCCAGAGCTGCCTGCTCAGCCTGCACCTCCCTGCCCCCACATCACTGAACACACACGTCCAGGGCAACAGGGCCCCACCCCACTTCACAGATGAGGTAACTGAGGCGCAGGGGGAGGGGCCAGCTCAAGGTCCCACCATAAAGATCTGGAAAAGCTGGGATTCAAGCCCAGGTTGGGCTGGGCCTCCCGAGCTTGGCCCTCCACCCACCGAGCCCCCCTCTGCATCTCAACGGCCCCGGGTGGGCCTGCAGCAGGTGCTGGGCCAGCAGTGTCCCTTTGTGAGTCCGGGGTATTGTCCCCTGGACAAAGGCCTCAATTCCCACTAGCGGCCACCCACACGCTCACTTCTAAGGATAAAGGAATCCGCAGCCAGCAGCCCCCCAGCTCCAGATGGCGCCCCCCGCCCGTCTGCTTCCCTCCTGACCCACTGACTCTGTGCCCACCCCCCATCAGGCCGGGCTGCTGCACTGGGGTGGAAGAAAAGAGGTGGCCCTCCAAGGCCTCATCTTTGTGTCCTCAGCATGGCGGCCGGCCCAGTGAGCTGCCTTACGCCTCCCTCCCCCCCATCCATCCCAGCCTTTTCATCCTTCCCAGACAAGACACAAAGCCACAGAGGCGGCCCCTCCTCCGGCTCCAACTGAGCTAGCTTTTCTGTCTTCTGGGCGTTGGAGCCCAGCCCCTGCCCAGCAGTGCCGGCCCCAGGCAGCGGCCCAGGTGTCTTAAAGGCCCAGCTTCTCCTCCGTGGCGCAGAGCAAGGGGCGGCAGGGCAGAGAAATGGCTGAGACACGGGGCTTCAAGAGAATCTAGTCACCGGGTGGAGGATGGTTCCCCTCGAAGCAGGATCAGGCCATTGGACCACTCAGGGCTCGCCTGGTGCTTGACTCCTGCACGCCCATGCCCTTTCTGCCAAGACGTTTTTGAGGCTGCATCCATCCATATGCTTGTTGGTCCGTTCACTTGTTCATTCACCATCTTACTGGGAGCCCTGGGCCTGGCCTGGTGCTGGGCCAAACAACGTCAAGACATCGTACTTCCCTAGGAGGGCTCACGGGCTGGGCCAGGAGGCCAGTAATCTGGATCCTTTTGGCCCATCCTCCCAGCAGGTTCTGAAGCACTGAGACAGGAAAGGTTGGTGACGGTGCAGAGTGCCCCCAGCTACCCCAAAACGTTCAGCAGCCTGGGAGAGCTGACTCTGAAACAAGCCTGTCCTGCGTTTAAGCAGGCTTCCTTCCGGGGCCTCCACTCAGATTCTCCACTTGCCACAGGTGGGCTGTTCCCGAGACAAGAAAGGGGATTTGGGCTGTGGCTTCCCGAGAGGAGCAAAGGCAGGGGTGTGTGTTATTTAACACGTCTGGGATACGTGCTCCCGTGATTCTCCTGGGAGGATCTCAGTCTCAGAGTTCGACAGGGTTGGCTGTGGGTTTGTATATGTTTGGTGGGTAAGTGACTCAAGTTTGGTCAATCAGAGCATCCAATCATCCTGGCCCCCTGATGGGTTCTGGGATGAACATGTTTCCAGGTTTGTCCATTGAGGCTCAGCCTGGCACTCCAGTGGGATAGCTCAGACAAGAGGTGACCTTTCGAGATGTAAGTGCCCCAGAGGCTACCAGGGGAGAGAACTTGCCTGAGAGTGAAGCACGGCTTCCATATCCTGGTGACATTGTTTGAGTACCTGGATCCAGCCATGCCTGAAGCTGGACATGCTTAAACTTTACTGAGAGCCAGCTTTTTTAAGCAAGTCAGTTTGAGTCAGGCTTTCTGGCACTCATCTAAGAGACCTGGCTGATAGGAAGAAAGAGAAAACAGGAGAGAAAGGTGGAGAGGGTTTGGGTGTAGTTTGGGAGAAGTGACAGGGAAACACTCTAGATGGATGGGGGCAGAGGTTAAATGACACTGTATAAGTCGTGACGTCAAATATTCCATATGAAACTATTTGCATCATTGCAACGTAATCCGCATCTTCCCCTCTGGATCATCTGTCAGGGTTACTATGCTCACAAATGTGCCGGGAGGAGGGACTCTCTTGTGCGATTTGGAGGAGTTGAGTCTCCCATCTGGGGCGAGGTGGAAGCAGAAGCTGATGGGGTTGTGGTGGACCGGGTAATCCTCCGCAGACTGGGCTGGCTGGGTGAGCCCAGGGTCTTTGCCCAGCTCCAGGAGGCTGCAGGTCACGTTGACATGTGGAATACTTGTATCTGATCCAGGACCCCCGTGGTTCTGAAAGCAGCAGTTGCTCTCTTGGGGCCCCTCTGCACAAAGCATGTTTGTGTCCCAACATGTGTGTTCATGGCCCGTTCCACTCGGGCCCAGGAGACCCTCAGAGGGCAGTGGGCATGCCTGTAGCAGCTCTGTGTACCCAGGTATCCGCACAGGGCTTTGTCCATAGAAGGTGCTTAGAAAACGTGGAACGAATACATGAGCGTTTCCAATGGCTTAAATATTTACTGTCTGTTCTCTTAGGTTCCTGGTCAGGATGGTGGATTGAGGTGCTATGGGAAGTTCTCTTTCTATGTACAAACACACAGAAGTGCTGGACAGAATATAACCATTTAAAATAATCCAGTCAAGGTCAAAAACAAAAAGGTAAGATGCCCAGCTTGTGTGGGAACAGGAGATGGAGCTGAATTGCCCCTGAGGGGTCAGGACTTGGGTTCTGACGCCCAAGTGGGGAAGGGGCAGGAGACCCTGCGTGCTGAGTGAAGACAGGGAGGCCGCTGCATGAAGCCCGGGGCCATCCAGGGCCATCTCATCCACAGACAGAGGCGAGGAAAACCCTGCTGACTGACCTTGGGATGTTATCCTAAGGAGCGGAGCTCAACTTCTCCCCGCCTGTGTAGTGAGAAACTCTGAGCTAGGAAACGCATTTAGAAACCAGCCCAGAATCAGGCCCTGGTTGAGGCAGAGGGCGAGCTCCATGACCCTGGAGATCAGGGGGACCCTCCAGGATCCTGGCTTCTCCTAAAGCTAGGCTCATGGGCAGCAACCACAGAGCACACTGGGAACTCATCATCACGACGGGAAGAGCTGGGCAAGCTCGGGGTTACAGCACCCCCAAAGAGACGTGACAGGAGGAGGTTTACCTGAGAAACAGGGAAAGGACTGGGTAGAGCCCACGGGAAAGGACTCAGTGGGAGGGAAAAGAAGGTGCAGGTTTGAGAAAGAACTAAATAGAAGTCTGAGCAATGAGGAAGAGAGTTGCTGAGATTGCCCTTGAGGAGGTGGCAGAGAAGGGGAAGGAGGTTTGATTTAGGGTTGGGAAGCTCAGCTGAGCTCTGCATCCATCAAGCTTGGCTACGTGACTAGTGTTCTCAACTGTCCTATCCCCTCCCCTTTCCTTTCTCCAAAGAGGGAGAGCTTTGGGGGCAAGTCAGCCCACAAACCTGCAAGCTCTGACTACAGAAAACGGGGAGAGGAGGTTTGCTTCTGGGGCTGGGTGAGGTTTAGGGACAGGGAAGCAAGTGGCAACCATCCCCTAATCACCGTGTGAAGGTCACTCTCTGGTCCTTGGTTTCCTCATTCACTGGGCATCTCCTTTGGAGCCTCTGCATATCTGCTCCCTTTTTCCTTCCTAAGAGAGCCTCAGGTTTGTTCGGGGCATCAATATCACCAGACCCTCTTGCAGGTAGGGGCAGCCACGTGATGCAGTTCTGGCCAAGTTGATGGAGGTACAAGTTCTGGCGGGAGAAGGTGGGGGAGCCTCTCCCTGAATACAAAGGCAAAGCTCACTAGAAGAAAATCCTTCCCACCCCAATATCACTGGTCCTTCTTATGCCTGGACAGCAGACATGAGGCCTGGAGGTGCAGAAGCCATCTTGTAACCATGAGTCAGCAACAAAAAAGGTAAAGTGGAAAGACAGAAAGAACACAGGCTGTGGGGGCAGACAGACCTTCCTTTTCCACTTTCTGGCTGTGTGGCCTTGGGTACATCACTTAACTTCTCAGAGCCTCACTTCCCACAACCTGTAAGATGGGGATAAAACCTCTCCTTTGAACAGTCCTTGTGAGGATTAGATTAAATACTGCGTTGAGTATGGATCCACTTTTTTTCCTGTAAAGAGCTATCCCAATGTTTGGAGTTATTTTTACAATCACGCTGTGACAATTACTTTAGAGCAAAAGAAAGAAGAGACCCTTTATTTCTCCTCTTGGAGAAAGTTCCAAGGCGGGATACGGGCCTCGAGCCAACGGGCCCTGCTCTTTGGCCGATCAGCTACGCAAACAGGAAGTGACTATCCAGACATTTGGAGCTGCAGAAGGCTAGCCCAGAGCCGGCCTCCTCTCTCCACCGCGGTGCGTCCTCGTCTCCCCGCTGGGAGCACCTCAAAAGTCAAGGACATGGTCCCCCCGATGAGGAACTAGGTTCAGAGCCACCCCTTCTGGCTGCCCTGCCCACCAGTCCGGGCCAGACCGCCTGCCTTTCGGGCTGAAGTCGGACGGCAGCCTCTTGCCCGGCTCCCGCTGTCTTCTGCCCTTCCCCTCTCCTTCCATCTCTTTGTCACAGCTGTAGCCAGGGTGATTTTTTTGCAGTGCAAGTCTGTTCCTGTCACCCCCTTGCTAGAACTTTCCCATGGCTACATGCTCTCTCTCGAGGGAAAGGCCGAAGACCTCGTCACAGCCATTGGGGTTGGCCTGGCCTCGGCCTGCCTCTCCAGCTCTACCCCTCCAGCTGCTGTTTTAGCTGCTGGACCGGGCCAAGGCCCCTCCTGCCTCTGCGCTTGGCCCACACTGTTCCCGTTTTCTAGCACGCTCTCCCCCCTCCCCCTCCCTGGCCCATCTCTCCAGGTAACGTCCCACCCTCAGCACTCCACTCCCGGGTCAGGTGTGCAGGTGCTGGCTGAGCCTGCAGCAGGCACGACGAGGGCCCTGCTCTCCCTGACAGCAGGCAGCTTGCTGTTGCCACACATTTGCTCACGTGGGGACCTCACACGCTCACGAGTGCTGCTCAGGGTGAGGACTGCGGAATGTCTTGTTCAGAATGACACCCCCTGTGGCTGGCATAGTCCCTGTGCAGAGCTGGTGCTCAGTAAATGTGGAAGGCAGGCAGGCCGGGTGCCTTGTGATTTGAAAGGGAGGGAGCTCTGTTTACCGAGCACCTAAGTGAGCCAGGCAGGGCCTCACTGCCTCTTCACAGCCTCCCTGGAAGGCAGGGGCCCCAAGCTCTGTTCCATCCAAGAGGAAACAGGGACTCCGAGGGGGGCCATGACTTGCCCAAAGTCACACATCTGTCAGAGGCCCTGCCAGGACTTGAACCTTGGTCCCGAGCCCAGCTTCCTACCCTGGTGGAGCTAGCACAAGGGATCACTGCGCATCTGTTTCCTCACCTGGAGAATGGGGACATAACGGTACCTACCTCACAGGTCCGGTGGCTGTGAGGACTCAGTGAGGTTAAGTGCTTGGCTCAGAGCCTGGCACACCTTAGGTGCTCGGTAAGTGTTAGCTGTTATCATCTTTGTTATTGCACGGATCAAAGAACAAATAAGAACAAATATATCCTATTACCCCCAGCGAATAGGCAAATGGAGGGGCTTTATGGGTGAACAGGCCCACGGACGGATGGGTGGGTGAATACCTGAAGACGTGAACGACACGGGGACGAGTTGAGGGGAGGAAAGCGCACCTGAGGTTCAGGAGAACGGGAGCTGATCTGGGGCACCCGGGCCGCCGGCTCACCTGTAGCGCCGCAGCTCGCCCTCCAGCCGCCGCACCCAGCGCTGCAGGCCGGGCACCTGCCGCGCCAGCGCCTCGAGCTCGCGCACGCGCGCCAGGCTGCGCAGCACTGCCTGCCGGGCCTCCTCCGCGCGCCGCCGCACCTCGGCCTGGCCCCGGCGCAGGCGCCCCGCGCGGGCCTCGGCTGCCGTCAGCGCGCCCCGCGCCTGCCGTAGCTCCCGCGCCGCCGCCGCCTCGGGCCCGCCGTGCGCCGGCTCCTGGGCGCCCGCCTGGCTCTTCCAGAGGCCGACCTGCCGGAACAGGGCAGCAGGGCAGGCGGTGAGCGCCTCGCGCCAGACCCCACCCGGACCAGGGCGCGTGAGCAGAGCAACCCGGCACGTTTCTCGCGCTCGTGCTCGCCGCCCTGGGCCCATCTGAACTCGTTTAACCCTCGCCCTGACTCTACCGAGGCGGGAGCTCATGTCACTCCCTTTTAATGGATGCGGGCCACTGAGGCACAAAGCCCATATTCTGTTGTTTGCACAGTTCCAGTGAGTCCCAAACGCCTGCACTCTTCTCTGTCCACCTCCGGCCCTCAGGGCACGCCGCTCCCTCGTGCTCCTCCACGCCCTAGACTGGGGAGCCCTCTATGGGCGTTCCCGGCCCTCCTCGCTGTCTGCTGCTAGGCAGCCGCCTCCTTGAGGGTGCGGTTTTCTTCTGTCGTGTTCACTGCTGGGCGTCCGGCGCCTAAAACAGGCCTGGCACACAGTAGGTGCTCAGCAAATACTTGGGGAACTAATGATCCTGGACGATCTTACTCCACACAATGGCAGTACTTTCCCGCCCCGGACTTGGCTTCTCCGATGCCCGCTGGCCGTGGCCCCTGAAATCCGCGCCTTGCACCCCTGCGCACTCCCTGGCCTCTCTCTACCCCTCAGGGCTGTGACCCCGGGCTGTGTGGGGAGCGGGCAGGGCTACTAGAACGTCAGCTCCCTCCTGGCCTGTGGTCCCTTGGGTCAGAGGCCGTCTGGTCCTCGTCTGACCCCCACCCCCCCATGGCCTTTGACACACGGCTGGGCGCAGCGCTCGAGTGCTTGTTGACTGAATTGCAGATGCCCGGGCTGGGTCCATGCCTCTCTCAGTGCCTGGCCCCCGCAGCGCTGAGTGGCCAGACCTGCCTGGTCGACAGTGACACTATCTAGCATTGGGACACCAGGCCTGGCCCTGAGGGAGGCCCTCCAATGTTCGTTGAGTGACTGCACCGAGCTGCCGGTGTACCTCGTTAGCTCCTTAAGGGTGCGGACAGGCCTTCCTCACACCTTATCTCCTAGGCCTCCTGGAATCCTGGCACCGCGGAGAGCTCTGGAGGCGTATGTGTGTGAGACTGACCAGGTTTCCTGCGAGGGTCCACGGCTGGGTCAGAGAGGCAGGATGAGATGGGCTGTGTGTGTGTGTGGTGGCGGAATGGTTTTCTCTGAGGGACTGGAGTTTTGGGGGGCTGGAATGTGTGATGTGAGTAGGGGAGGGGACTAGAGTGTGTTGGAGTGGAATGGGGTGGCTAGGGACAGGATGCAAGTAGGCTGAAGTGGGGAGGGCTGTCCTTCACCCGCCCCTGCGGCCCCCCCCCCCGTCCTCTTCCTCTGCACAGCAGGGGCTCTGCAGCCAGCCCGCTGTCAAATGCCCCCCACCCCCCGCCCCATTCCGTCGTCACCCTCCGCCCCGGGACCAGGTGCACCTGCAGTGCTAAGCAGCGCGCGTCACTGCTCTGCAGCGCGGCCCGCAGGTCCTCCACCAGCTCGCGCAGGCTGCTGTTTTCTTCCTCCAAGCGCGCCAGGCGTTCGCTGTCCGGGCCGCCGTCGGAGCCGGGCGTATGGGGCGCTCGGCGGCGGCGGCGGCGCGGACGGCGCAGGCGGATCTGCGTCTCGATGTGCTCGCTGAGAGCGCCGCGGGGCAGACGGGGCCCGGCGCGGGTGCCAAAGTAGCCGCAGAGGCGCGCGTGGAACTGGCGGAAGGTGAGCTCAGGCGGCTCGGCGCGCAGTGCCAGGCGCGCCTCCTCCTCCGCATCCGCGTCCCCATCGGTGGCCACCCCAGCGATCACATCCCCAGAGTTCGTGTCTCTCGCGGCTGTATCCCCGGCAGCCTCCCAGGTGGCGGCAGCCTCCTCGGCGCGCAGCCCCAGCACCGCGCAGAGCGCGCGGAAGTCGGCGCGGGGCAGGCGGCCGGCGCCTCGGCAGTCCAGGTGGTGGAAGACTTCCTGTAGATACTGGTCCAGGCCCGTGGCCAGCACCACGATCTCGTTCTCCACGCCTCGGTCCAGCCCGTAGTGGTGCGCCAGGGCGCTCAGCAGCCATTGTGTGCGCCGCGCTGGTCGCTGGTACGGGTCGCCCGCCGCGCCTTCCACGCCGGTCCCCGTGCCCGGGCCGCTGGGCTCCATCGCCGCCAAACGCCGCTCCTCGGGTCCCTCCGCCCCGCCACTTCCAGGGGCGGCCCCAGAGTTTCTTGAAAGGAGGGGCTTAGCGGTGGCGGTCTGGTTGGAGCGGCGCCGAGGGCCGTGTCGAGCAGCTGCGCAGGCCTGGCAGGGCGTTTGTGTTTTCCCCGGGTTGGCTGTGAGGGGGCTTGGTTAGGGGACCCAGGAGCCCCGAGACCCCCGCGGGGCCACCACTGCCTGGTCTCCCTCCTGATCTCGCTTCTCTCGGTGACCCCTGCACTCTTCTCCCCTCATCACTCCCGGGGCGTCCCTGGCATCCCCTCTTTTCCTCCCATTCCCGGTCTGTCTGCTTTCAACTCCCCCGCTCTCCACCTAGCTGCGTTGTGCAGAGAGTGTGCCCCGAGACGGGGACAAGGGGTGGGCTCGGGATAGGAAGCTGGGGAGGGCTGGAGGGTGGCCCGCTGGTCCGGTGGCCCCCAGGTCTGTTCCGCGCCCACGCGTCACTCCACCCCTTCTCACCAGAAAACCTTTCAAGGGTAGCCCCGCAAGCTAGCTGGGGCCGTACTCCCGTAAGTACGGAGAAGCCCCCTTCCCCTTAAATTCAGCGACTGGGTTCCTAAACCCGCTTCTCACTCCACCAGGGCTGGTGCAAAGGGCCTCACGTGGTAACTAGAGCAGAGGAAAACCCAGCTCCGAGAAGTGAGGGGATGCGTTAGGGCCATCCCGCTGGATAGAAGCCGATCTGAGCCGGACCCTTGCTCTCTAAGCTCTGTGTGTGTTGAAGCGGGGGTGTGTGTGTGTGTGTGTGTGTGTGTGTGAAAGCCGTGGCCTTCCGTCTTCTCACCCGTTTGTGCCTGGGGAGTGGATTGGCCCTGTGACCGGAATTCCACCTCTGAGCTGGGGTTAGGCTACCAGGTAGCTGTTTGGCCAACATTTCCTCTGGTGCCTTAGAACACCGTTCTGGAAGAGGAAAGAAAAATCAGCCTCTCAGGTGAATGTAAGGCTGCTTTTCCTTTTTTTTTTTTTGACAAGAGAGGTGTAGAGATGTCCTAACCTGATACCTGCACTGGGAACCCTCATCCAGCCTCGCAGGAGTAAGAGGCAGATTTCTTCAACTGCCTTTGGCTATACGATGGGCAGAATCTGGCCTGTGTACAGCTCTAGGAATTTAAATGTTAAATCCTGGAATTTGAAAAAGCACTAAAATTCTATCTCTTCTGCTGCAGTACCCCAGAATAAGCACTTTGTCCATCTGGCAAATTTCTAGTCATTCTTGAAGACTGTGCCCACCACACACCTCACCCAGGAAGGAGTTAGATGCTTCTCCCCAACCATTTTGGGTGTGCATTTAAAAAAAAATTATTAAAGTGGTAGCAATTTGACAAAAAATTTTACATCAACTCCAATTCTTGGCTTCTGCCTTAGAAAAAACACATGTGTACAGGATGTTCATTGCATCGTTGTTTATAATAGTGAGAAACTGGAGACAACATTTTGCCCATTGGTACAGCAGCCGGGATGAATCACCACGAAAGGATGAGAGAAAAAAGCAACAATAACAATAAACCCACACGAAACGGTACTAAATATTTTCTGGGAGGACATGTGTATGTAAGCGCATAGAAAAAGATGGAGGGATTCACAAACAGATTCAGTCGTTATTTCCAGGGGTCGGAGGAGTTTGGCTTTCAGTGTAACATCTCTCTTTTTGACAAAGGAGATGTTTTTGTTTGTTTCTTTTTTCTTTTTCTTTTGGGGGGGGGAAGACATACTTTATTTGCCATTTACAGACCACAAAGGTCACCCGTTTAAAGTATATTAATAAGCGGTTTCTGGTATATTTATAGAACATATAACCAGCATCACAATTTCATTTTTAGAACATTCTCATCACTCACCCCCCCCCCCCCAAAAAAAACCCTTGTACCAGGTAGCCCGCCCGCTGCTCCAGTTTCCTACCTCCACTCCCAACTCCCGGCCCTAGGAAGCCACTATTTTCTGTTTCTATGGATTTGACTATTCTGGACATTGTGTATCAAACAGAATTACACAATATGTAACCTTTTGTGACTGGCTCCTTTTTGAGAACGTTTTCCAGCTTCAACCAGGTTGTAGCTGGCATGCGGTTCGTTCCTTTTTATTGTTGAGTGATATTCCATTGTATGGATGGACCACCTTTTGTTTATCCGTTCATCTGTCGATGGACGCTTGGATTGTTTCCGCTTTTTGGCTGTTATGAGTAATGCTGCTGTAAACATCCATGTAGAAATTTTTGTGTGTTCATACATTTTCACTTTTCTTGAGTATATACCTAGGGGTGAGGTTGCTGGGTTGTGTGGTAGTTTTCTGTTTAACTTTTGAGGGCCTGCCAGGCCATTTTCCAAAGTGGATGCACCATTTTCATTCCTACCAGCAGTGTAATTCATGTATTTCTCAATGGGTAAAGGAATACAGATGTTCTCAGTCCTGGACTCCTTCCCTTCCTCCCCTCCAACACCTCCATCTCAGTTCGCGGGGCCTCCAGCCTCCCTTGGCAAATCCCTACCGTCGTGGGTTCTTCTGTCACTTTCACGCCCACATCCGGTCTGTCAGGCCGTGCACCTTTAGAGCTCACCCCCAATCTGATCCCCTCTTCCCGCGCCACTGCTACCCTGCACCAAACCCCCAGCATCTCTCACCTGTATCACTGCAACAGCCTCCTCCCAAGAAGTGCCCTTGAATTCCTACTTCTGTCCTCCACAGCCAGAGGATGCCCTCCTTCGCTCAGCACCCACTGTTATCTCCCTCTCTCAGGGACTAAAGGCCCAGTGCAGTGTGCGCCCGTGTCCCCCGTAACCTCCCTCAATGCCTCCCTCACTGACCTCCTTGCCGTTCTTCTAACTCACCTCAGGGCCTTTGCATCTGCTTCCCCAGATGTTTACAGCCCGCCCCCTCACCTCCAAGTCCCCTGCTCCAGCGTCAGCCCCTCAGTGAGGCCTTCGGTGACATTGCAAGCCCTTTGCGCCCCTAACAGACTCTCTTGCCTGGTGCGTCTGTCTGTCTCCCTGTAACGCACTATCAGCCGTGAGGGGAGGGACGCTTGCCTGTCTGTCCGCCGGGCTTGGTGTCGGGCACACTAAGAGAAGAGCTCCAGCCCCCTTCTGAGCTGCCTGCCCGCAGCTGCTGCCGGGCACAGTGTGGCATGAGGCTCTCCATACGATTTCATTGCCTACAGGTGAGACGTACTTCTTAACTTGTATTTTAAGAAACAGCATTGTACCACATTGCCACTTATTTGCAGACCTGCCACGAGGGCTGAGCTTCACAAGCCCAGAGACCTGGTACCCCCATGCCCAGCACAGGGCCTGGCATTAAGTAGGCACTAATTATGTCACTTTATAGATGTGGACACACTGCATCAGAAGGAAAACTACATGTAGCTGGCATCCCTGGGATTCAAGCATCCTTGCGCCCAGAGATGCTGGAGTCAGTGAGACTCCAGATGTTAGGTTGATTGGACTCCCAGCTGGACCGTAGAAACTTCTAGGCCGGGAGTCCCACTGCCGGGGACGTTGCTGTCTGCACTTAGAACAGGACTCTGGGGACTTCCCTGGTGGTCCAGTGGCTAAGACTCTGCCCTCCCAGTGCAGGGGTCCCAGGTCCAATCCCTGGTCAGGGAACTAGAGCCCGCATGCCTGCCGCAACTGAAGATCCCACATACGCCAACGAAGATCCCGCGTGCCGCAGCTAAGACCCAGTGCAGCCAAATTAAAAAGAAAAAGAAAAAAAAAAAAAAAACGGGATGCTGGAACTTGACTCTGGACTTTTTTTTCCCCACATCTTTATGGGAGTATAAATGCTTTACAGTGTTGTGTTAGGTTCTCCTGTACAGCAAAGTGAAGCAGCGTGTATATACGTATATCCCCATATCCCCTCCCTCTTGTGGCTCTGTAGAGGAATCTGATTCAATTTCATGTTGATGCTGAGAGCTGGTGACCCAGGGGAGACTACCCCCGTTGCTGCAGCTGGCGATGGCTTTTGCGGAAGGAATCCTTTGAACAGGAACTTTTCTGGGCCAGTCAGTATTGAAAAGAAAGACTTTAAATGTCTTGACGTGGAGCCATCGCCTGGCCTCTGCCCCCCGCAGCTCCTTGGGGGCAGGGGAGTCCGGGTTGATAATGGGGCGCTGTCAGGCCTGTCTGTCTGCGGGCAGTGTTACCAGGCGCCTCTGAAATCATCCGGGTTGGACCCACAAGGTTTTTGTTTAAGGCTCAAAGTGAGCAAACTCAGAGGTCTCCTGCGCTTTTGTGTGAGCTGGGGGATGGGTGTGTGTCTGCGTCGGGGAGAGCGGAGAGAAGTGATTTTTCTGAAGTCAGCTCAGTATTGTTTGAGCCATTCCAAATAGTATATTGTTCACAGTGTCTACAAACAGCCCAGCAAAGTGCTAAAGAGCAAAAAAAAACCATCCCCCCTTGTGCCAACAAGAGAAGAACACAGGGTTCTTTTGATGTGTTTGTTTTCAGATGTTTTCCATGCATTTAAGCATGAAAGAACTTTTGGGGGTGGTGAAAACATTCTATATCTTCGGGGGGGTGGTAGTTTCAC